AGTCGTGTAGGTACGAGGAACTTCGCTCGCGCGTACCTGCAGCGTAGCCAACAGGCACAGAGCGTGAGTTAGAATCTAGTTTGAGGGTCTAATAATGCTATGAGAGAGAAGAGAGAGAAGAGAGAGAGAAAAGAGAGCGAGAGACGAGCGAGAGAGAGAAGACAGAGAGGAGCAAGAGAGAGAGAGAAGAGAGAGAAGAAGAGAGGAAGAGGAGAAGCGAGAAGAAGAGAGAGAGAGAGAGACCGAGAAGAGAAAGGAGAGAGCGGAGAGAGCCGCGAGAGGAGACGAGGAGGAGCGAAGAAGCGAGAGAGAGAGAGAGAGAAGAGAGAGAGAGAGAGAGAGAGAGCGAGAGAGCGGAAGAGGCAGAGAGAGAAGGAAGCGAGAGAGAGAGAGAGAGACGAGAGAGAGCGACAGAGAGACAGACCGTAGTCTTGGTTAGAAGACAGAGCCGGACCGAGAGGAACAGACAGAGGAAAACCTCCGACCGCTACACACGAGCCACCTCTCTCTCACCCTCTCTAACACTTCCACCTCTCTCTCACCCTCTCTAACACTTCCACCTCTCTCTCACCCTCTCTAACACCCCGCTCTCCTCTCTTGCAGCGCGTTCGGTAACTGGTTCCCGGGAGGCAAGCCGCTCATCCAGCAGGCAATGGCCAAGATCATGAAGGCGAACCCAGCGCTGTACGTGCTGCGCGAGCGCATACGCAAGGGCCTGCAGCTGTACTCGTCCGAGCCGACCGAGCCCTACCTGTCATCGCAGAACTACGGAGAGCTGTTCTCGAACCAGATCATCTGGTTCGTCGACGACACGAACGTCTACCGCGTCACCATTCACAAGGGTGAGGCGGCGCGGGGGGAGATTTCTCGCATTGTCAGTATTTACATGTAATATATAATCGAGTCGTGTATTTGAGCGGATTGTGTGTGCTGTAATCGTCAGATCAAGTCAAGAATTGTAAATATCATTCCAGCATCGTGTCTTCTGAAAGCAATATATACTGTAACTATAGTGCACATGCTGACTCGATGACCGCAAGGTCCTTTCGCCATACCCGTGCTTTATATTAACAAAGTTACAACTGTTTAATTTCCCACTGTCTTAGATTATCCTCGTTTAGGCACAAAAAAATCTGATCTTTGAATCTGTGTATGATTTTAATGGTAAATTCTTTGTAGCACAGTACCTGGTATATATACATTAGCATGTCTGTCTATCCCGCACACTCCAAACTGCCCCGCACCCACTCTCATACTTATCCTGTATCCACCGACCACCGGACACCCATACTACTACCTACTCATCCTCACTTACCTACCCACCACCGGACACCCATACTACTACCTACTCATCCACCCTTACCTACCCACCACCGGACACCCATACTACTACCTACTCATCCCACTTACTACCCACACCAGACACCCATTACTACACCTACTTCATCCACCCTTACCTAACCCACCACCGGACACCATACTACTACCTACTCATCCACCCTTCCTACCCACCACCGGACACCCATACTACTACCTCTCATCCACCCTTACTACCCCCACACCAGTCCATATTCTGCTGCGCACCGCCCTTCCCTATACTTTGTCCTACCCCTCCTCATTACCCCCCCTCTCTCCGTCAACCCG